CAAACTGGCTTTGTAATTAATTTTTGGAACTTTTCAATATAATTTTTAAAATTAATATTACTATTCATATGTGACTTCAAGTCGTTTCCAAGTTATGGCACTCCTAAAGCTAAACTATCACCATGGGAAGATTTGTTCATGGGGTTCCCTTGCCTCCCTCTAAGGCTGAGAATGTGTGACTTGCAAGGTCATTTGATGGATTTCCATGGCTGAACTGGAATTCAGAATCACATCTCCAGAGCCATCATTCAAAATTCAAGTCACCTTTTAATTTCTTTCCAGAAAATTGCTTTTAAATCGTGTTTTAAACTGTTGTGTATCTAAACCACTCAGCAGTTGAACTTACTGACCGAAAGGCTGGTGGTTCAGATTTGGGGAGCGGGAGTTTCTGCCAAACTAGCAGTTCGAAAACATGCAAATGTGAGTAGATCAATAGGTACTGCTCTGGTGGGAAGGTAACGGTGCTCCATGCAGTCATGCTGGGCACATGACCTTGGAGGTGTCTATGGACAATTTCAGCTCTTCAACTTAGAAATGGAGATGAGCACCATTCCCCAGAGTTGGACACGACTAGACTTAATGTCAGGGGAAACCTTTCCATTTACCTTTATCATTTGGGAGCCCTAGTAGGTAAAAAGGCAAAAATAAATAAATAAATAGCATCTTATTAATTTGTATGCCATCAACTAAGAGTGAAATTATATAGAAAATGAGGGTGTTTAGTGCTGCAGTCATATGTTAGTGATTTACAAATCAACATGCGTAAGAGTACGCAAAACAGATGTTTAAAGTGCTACTTGATGATGGTCATTCCCAACAGCATGATAAATTAACATGAATAAAGGTGTATTGCCTAGAAAAACACTGAGTCATTTCATTAGCCCAAAACATATAGTGTGAAAGATAATTTTTTCTCTTGACTAGAAGCATTAACCAACAGGACCATTTAACTTTAACAGCAGGTGGAGACATTGGCTTATCCATCGCAGAGAAAAAGTACCAACCCAACCAAAATCTGATCTGTTGTGAAGGCTATACTCTGCAGGGTCCCTGCCATAATCATAAATATATTTATGCAAGGAATAGACTCCAAAAACCAAAGAGGCTGGCTATTTTTACTTGGTGCTCTCCTTAAATGCAAAGCAAAATTCCATGGAGGGCTTCCATATCAAAGCTCCGACATAAAATAATGGAAGGAAGCCTTGAAAGAAGAGAGGGCTACACGGGGGTCACCAGGGAAAACACTGAAATCTTACTCTTGCTTAGAGAAAGAACCAGCAAAGCTATATAAAGCCCATGATCAGCTCTCCCGTGAAGAGGCGGCTCATCTTTCCATTTGCTCATCACTCCAAGATCAGTTTACACTAAATTCTGCAAAGGATATCTATCTTGTAAGCCAGGCATTCAGGCCAAGTGTTAAGACAATAGTGAGATGTGTGCACATACATGAATGGATGTGTGCACACGCATGAATGGGCATGTGTGCGCACACCATGATCATCATCACCATTTGAGTTTACTGCCAAGAATAAAATTTGCATTTTCACATTATCTAGCACTCTTTTTCAGAAATAGTTACAACAATGTTCCATTTTTAACTGCCTTTAGAGCTAGAAATCAAATGTATAGAGGTAGAGGGGGATTTTGACACCCTCGCGTCAATTCTCAAGTTTTTACTGCCAAGTAAACACTTTTCCAGTTAGTTTGCCAAACAGTGCAGAAAAAAACAAGAAAAACTGGCCTCAGGCATGTTAAATTAAGTTCAAAGTAAACAACTGTAAAGAGATTACATTAGGGCCAAAAAAAAACCACACCATCATTCTTTCATTCATATATGTATATATACATTCACACATTTATAGATTTACATGGGAACATACAAATATAAATACATACACACACACTATTTGGTGATCCACTTTTGCAGGGTTTAGGGCAGTGGTTGCCAACCTTTTTTGACCAGGGACCACTTGACCAAAGACCACTTTCCAACCTTACTACCAAAATGGTTTTTGGTCAACTTTATTTATTTATTTATTTATTTATTTACTGCACTTGTTGACCACCGTTCTCAGCCCTAGGGCGACTCACGGCGGTGTACAACATATAAAAACAATTTACAATAAAGGCAATATCACAAACAACAATAACAACATCACTATCAATAATACAATTACACTAAATCATTCGCGACGTCTCATCATAGAATCACAATCCAATCTCGTTATCCATATTCCGTTCCAATCATCATTGCCAATTGTTGTAGCACTTAGTCAAACGCCTTCTCAAACAACCACGTCTTTAGTCTCTTGCGGAATGTCATAAGGGAGGGCGCCTGTCTGATGTCTACAGGGAGGGTGTTCCACAGCCGGGGGGCCACCACCGAGAAGGCCCTATCCCTCGTCCCCGCCAGGCGTGCCTGTGAGGCAGGCGGGATCGAGAGAAGGGCCTCCTCAGACGATCTCAAAGTCCTCATGGGCTCATAGGCCGAGATGCGGTCCGAAAGGTATTTTGGGCTGGAACCGTTTAGGGCTTTGTAGGCACCTTGAATTGGGCCCGGTAGCAGATCAGCAGCCATTGGAGCTGGAACAACAAGGGCGTTGTGTGCTCCCTGCGTCCCGCTCCTGTTAGTAACATGGCTGCCGCGCGC